TCAAACCACCACCCCTGAGCTTCTCATCTCCTCCTCCTTTTGGGAGGATTCTGACCATGACAGTTTTCAGAAGGAAAATGTGTAATGTCATATATTCTGCATTACTCAGCAAATATGGAGCCAGGGTTATGTGAATGGCTTAGTGGTCAAGTCTGGATTTAACCCCTGCTCTGAATACTTATGCCAGCTTCCTGCCTATGCAACCCTGGAAAGCAGCAGTGATGGCCCAAGTAGCTGGGGTCCTGCCACCCCAGGGAAATCTGGATTGAGTTCCCAGGCCCTCACTTGTGTTCCCTGTCCACAGCAGGCATTTAGGTGTCATTCGGGGATGAAGCAGTAGATGGGAGCTCTGTGCCTCCATCTCTTTCTCTGTCACTCATATCAAATTAAAGCAAGGCAAAAGCTTCAATGAACTCCAAGTAGTACCCATTCACATTATATAAAGTGCAGTTTTTCCCCTCTAATCATTCCAACCATGGAGGGTTACCATTGACCAAATAGGCTCACATGCCAATGTCAGGGACATGCTCCTGCCTCCTGCCCTGGAATATTGGTCGATGGCCAAATTATCACAGGACCTTAATGGCCCGCTATGGTTTCATCAGCCCTCAACCAGGAGATTCAATCTAACTCTCAAATCCCTGATTGCCAACCTGGCACTTCTCACCTTCACCTGTGCATCTCAGAACACCCACGCTTGTGGTCCAGTCCAGGTAACACAGCTAAGAATGGGACTCAGCAACTACCTGAGCCAGGGAACCAAAACCCCTAGGAAATCCAAACCGCTGGGGTGTGAGGTAGGTGTGTGGAGTTCTGGTGCCATGGGTTAAGCTGCTCCTTGTGATAGGAGCTTCCACTGGGTTGCATCCAGGCTGCTCCAATTATAATACAACTCCTGCTAACAAACCTGGGAAGGCAGCAGAAGATGGCTCAACGACTGGGGCTTCTGCCTCCCAGGTGGAAGACTCAGAGGCCTAGGCTCCTGGCTTCAGCCTGTCCCAGTGCAAGCTGTTCCAGTCTCACACCTCTCTCCCTAGCTCTGCTTTTGAAACAAAAAAGGCACTGGGTGTGAGGCTGAGTCAACCAGGAACTCAGCAGTGCACAGCCTTTTCCCTCATCTCCATGCCTTCTGAGGAACTGTCCATGAGACACCTGTACTGTTCAGTACCAACCAGTCATGATCTGAAGACTGAGATCAAGACATCTGCATTGGTCATGGAAGGCACTGGAGAAAGGCAGAGTGGGAGAGGCCATGTCGCAGCCCCCTGGGCCAGGGACCCCTCTCCTGCCCCTCCCAGCTCCATCTAACTCTCCACCTCCTTGTTACTGCTGAAGGCCTTGCACAGGACACAGCTGCTTAGGTCCTTCACTGCACCCTTAGGCCCCACTGCTGCTCTCACCCCCAGTAACTTCAGCCTCTGCATTCCAAGTTAGCCTGGGACCATGGCATCTTTACATGGGATCCATGTCCCCTGTCATTGTCTGAGGGAGGCCACAGCCCTCTAGCACCTCCAAACACACACTTCAGTATCTTCCTCACTTGAACTCTCTGGCCATCAAGGAGTTTTCACACTAGTAAGCAGAGAACTCTTTTTCAAACTCAAATTGGTTCTTGCCACTCCCCTACTCAAAGTGCTCTATTGACTCTCATTTATAGCGAGAACTCTGCAAGCAACATTAAAACATCCAAAATTACCCCAAATTATTGTCCTGGACAACGTTATTTTCCAGTACACAATTAAGTCTGTCAAAACAAGCCAGAGTTTGCTTTGACCATGAGCTTGCCCATGGTGGTAAGTACAATGGTCCCAAGCCCAAATGTCAAAACTATCAAGGCAACATTTAACTTTGTTGATACGTGAAGTGGCTGACAACTTCCCTTAGATAAAAGACAGACTAACCCAACAGCATTACAGGAGAGCTGGGTCATGAGGGAAGTTCTGACACACTCCTGGGAATCCAGAAATGCACAGGTGCGCCCTTCTCTGATGAGAGAGGCTCACGGTGCTGGACTTCTCACACACATAATGACTAAAGCCAAACATCCAGTTCCTCCTGGGGTACTAGAATCTACCCATGTGCTGGGAAGATGGCACCAATGAACACCTTGAGCAATCAGGCTCTTATGAGCTTGTCTGGCAGACATCTCACTCATGTTGTGCCACCTTGTTGTGAGCCCAGGGGGGCCTCCAAAGGAATCACTGACCCTGGGAGTGTACAGGATCAGGATCTCCCAACATAAGCAGAAAATCAAGGGAAAAAAGCAGCCAGTTGACACTATCTCTGAGGAAGTACAGACATGGATCTCACTAGTTCCTGGGCACTCAGCTTTTACAATATACTCAAAGAAATTCAGGAAAGTATGCAAACAGAGTTCTGGAATTCAAAATCAGAACAATTGAAAGGCTCACCAGAGGGGCCAGTATTAGTTTTCTAGTCACCATACCTCTTTATTGCAATCTGTGTGGCATTAAAACTGGAAGCTGGACCATGGTTCTGGAGGGCAGAGCCTGAGGTCAGGAGCCTCCTGCCCTCTGCTCTATCTGCATGCTCCAGGCTAGGACCCTTCATGGTCTCTTCCTAGCTTCTGGCAGTTGCTGCAGTCCTTGGCTTGCTTGCTTTGCAGTGCATGCTTCCACTCTCTGCCTGGGTCATCCCAGAGCAGCCTTCTTCCTTCCTTGTCTAAGAGGCCACATTTCTCTGCCAATGGAAGGACAATGGCATTTAGATCAGGACCCACTCTAATACAGGATGATGTATCTTCACTGATTCTACCTGTGAATACCTTTTTTTTTTCCAAAAAAAAATGCATACACATACCCTGAGGGCTAGGACTTGAACCTAGAGGACATAACTCTACCTATAATAGGCCTTTGAGGAGGCAAAAGCATCAGTGAACTTGTGGATTAGTCCTTCAGATGACCCAGTCTAATGAATAGTTAGCAAATAAATAGAGTTCCAGAGACCTGTGGAACACTACTAAGAATACCACATAGTCACTGAGTCCCACTGAGAGATGACAGAGAGAATAGGATGGCAAGACTAAATAAATTATATCCTAAGCTTTCCCCAGTGTTTTTAAACCTGCAACCACAATATGCGAAATGTTGGGTATTAGCCCTAGTCATGTAAGCTAATGCTTAGGACATCTATGTCCCACATAGGAATTCTGGCATTTGATCCCCTACCTCTGTCTCTAGTTCCCGCCCATGTGCATCCTGGGAGACAGTGGTGATGGCTCAAGAAGTTGGGTGCTTTCCAGCCACATGGAAGACGTGGATCAGTTCTCAGTTCCCAGCTTTGGCTCCTGTAGTTGTAGCAAGCATTTTAGAAGTGAACCAGCAGGACATCTCTTTGATTCTGTCTATGCAATTAAAAAATAACCAGGAAGTTCAATGTACCCTGGCATTATAATTCATATCATATAAGCTGAAGGCCAAAGAGAGACTCACAAGAGTGAAACACTATGTATAAAGGACCTGAGAGATCAACACTAGGATGCCTGCAAATTGTTCAGAAAAGTGCTGCCAGTGAGGTCCGCAAAATTTGGGAACTTCAAACACGCTTCAGCTAATCCCCCCAGAAGTGTGACACTTTCTCAGAAAGTTAAACACAGGGCTTCTGTGTGGTCCAGATATTCTGCTCAGGGATATCTAAGCAGGAAAAAAAAATCTTTCCTTCATGTAACAATCTGAAGCAAATGTTCATAGTGGCAGTAGTCACAGCAGCAACAAAAAGTTGGAAGTGGCCCACTTTCACATGTGGACAATGTTGAAGGGCCTGTGTATTAGGATGACTGTGAGGTTAAAAATAAGTTAATTCAAAGCCTGAAAAAATTGGCTGCTATGTCATAAGAGCCATTGACATAAGTATTCACTTCCAAGTATCCAGTAGAGTTAAGGAGACATGAGTGCTAGTGTCCTCAGAGGAGGGTCCTCACAGGTGACAAATCAGAAAATAGGGCTTTCTCTTTCCACACTGGCATGGGACTGATTCTTCACAGCTCACGAACCAAACCTATGGTCTTGAGATGTAGTGTAGGCAGAATAGCGGCTGTGTCTTCTGATGGTTTCAAGGCACTGAAATAATGAGATTAAATGACTTCCCCAGATTACTTCACTGATGATTCGTGAATCTTAAGGTGAATGTACAGCTGGATTCCCTAAGCATGGAGATCCCTGAACCCTGAGACCACAGATGCTACCCTGGCCATGGAACCAAGGACTGTCCTCCCACACTTTCCAAAAATCTCCTGGGGGGGTTGGCAAGACACAGCTGATGTCCTTGAAGATGTACATGACCCCAAATCCCAAACTAACCTCATGGCTCAATATTTCAATCCTGACCAAAATGCAAATACTCCCTGACATGCAGCCCCGCTGAAGAATCAGGGGGTCCACACAGTGTCCATCACCACCATGGCACATGGCTCAACCTACCACTCTGCATTGAGGCATCGCTGTGGTCAGGGACCACCTGGAGTGACCAGTACACTGCTCAGTTCCCAACAGTCAGAAGCCAGGACATTCCAACCAACTGCCCATGTGACAGGCAACAGAACTTGGTGAGGAGCAGTAGGAGGAGATCAACTTGATGTGGGCCTGCAGGGCTGCTGCTCAGCTGCTTCAGTTGATATCCACAAGCCCCTGGGTCTCAGAGTGAGGGCTGGACTTGGGTTCACATCTAATCATGGTTGGCACAAGGTCTAGAATGGGGGAGGGGTCATGGACACTGCCTACCCCTCCAGGATATGACCATGCCATCTCTGGGACCTCAAGGGAATCAGCCCTCACTCACAATACAGTCCTATAGCTTTTGTCCAGAAGATCCCCAGGATTGTTCACTTAGGTTTTGGCGAGTTCCCAGCCAAAGGTGAAGGGTGAGAGTTTAGCTGTCTATCCAAGCACCCCATGTGACTCCACATCCCTAAGGAGTTCCCCATGCAAACTCTGTCCTCACTCTGCCCTTGACCAGAGAGCTCAGCTGCTTTGATCCCATTTACTCAGCCTGCCAAGTTCCTCTGTCAGGTCAGGGTCAGCACCTGTCTGTGGTACTGGACTGATGGGTAGGACATAAGGGAAGGGCCCCAGGATCTTTCTGCAGGGGTGCAGGTCTCTCTGATCACCACCCTGAGTTCACTGTGCCACCCTGAGGTGCGGCCTTTGATTCAGGTGCTCATGACCTCTGCGCAGGCCTCACTGGCAGAACAAACTCACCACCATCCCTGCAGCTCAGTGAACACTTCCAGCAAAGTGCAACCACTAAGTCCCCACCAAGACAAGTAACAGGGTCACCAGGAAAGACCATGACAGGGAGAAGCAACAGGGCTGTGGAGCATCAAGAGCATGTTGGGGGTGAAGCAATGGCCACCCAGAGCAGAGCAGCACACGGCCTCCTCCTTAACCCTGTGCCAGCTGTAGGAATTATTCATTTGACTGCTGCCCTTCCAGTGTCCAGCAACAAGGAAGCAGAGGACACAGAAGAGGAAACAGGGAGACACCAGCAGGCCCACTGCCCAGGGTGCAGAAGAAACCACCCGTGGATATTGGGGCAGGTGCTGTAGCGCAGTAGATGAATCCTCCATCTGCAGGCCAGCATCCTATATGGGGTGCCAGTTTCAGTACCAGATGCTCCTCTTCCGCCAGCTCTCTGCTATGGCACTGAAAAGCAGTAGAAGGTGGCACAAGACCTTGGGCCCTTACACCCACATGAGAGACCTAGAAGAAGCTCCTGGCTCCTGGCTTTAAATGGGCTCAGCATTGGCCATTGCAGCCATCAGGGCAGTGAAACCAGAAGATGGAAGACTTTTCTCTTTGTCTGTCCCTCTCAAATAAATAAATAGAAAGAAAAATCTTTTTTAAAAAGCCATGGGTATTTCTTTCCATGCCAGTCTCTCCTCTTGGGGCTTACAGCTGTCTCCAGGGGACCATTTTGCCTGCATTCCTGCTTTTCCCTGCACCTCTTGGCCAGATTATCTAAGCCCTAGGGATGTGGACCCTCATAGCTGCTGCTGTCCTACCGCCCAGGCAGTGTCTGACGAGGGACACATGGCCATGGATGCAGGACCCCCTTGCCAACCTGCTTCCTGCCTTTCTCTGGCCTCCAGACCTGATCCTTAGTCTCTTCATCTGCAGACCCTCCCGTCTGTCTGATCCTCTCCTCCGCCCTCCAACCTGTGGCACACCTCTTACTCAGGAGAACCCCTCGTCTTGTGGCCTCCAGCTGTCTGAACATGAAATTAGATGGCAGTGTTCAATACAAAGCCTCCCTGTCTCTTGTGCTCATGTGTCCTGCTCTGCAGATCCTGTATCAGAAAGCATTGGACTGTGTGACAGCTACCAGGGAAGGACTAATCCTATTGGAAAGTTTCCATCATGTGGGCCAGGGGCTGTGGAGCCCAACACACTGGTGTCCACAAGGACTGACCCCCTGAGCAGGAAGCCTGTGGCTGAACTGAGGGATGGGAGCCCAGGATTCTCTCCTGGCTGAAAGAGTGGCTGCTTCTCCTTAACCAATACAGGATGGGGGCCTCTCAGCTGCCATGCCCTGCCTGTGGTCCTTGTGGGACAGAACAGAGTCTTTCCTCCTGGCCCACTCTCTGGCCCACCCAATAGAGCTGTCTTGCAGGAAGGTTGTAAAGCCCTCACCTGTCTGCACCGCTGGCTGATTCCTTGAAAGAATGCTGTGGCTCAAATGTCCTCCCAAAATACCTGTGCTGGAACTTAGCCCCCAGTGCAATGGCATTGGAAGGAGGGACCTTTTAAAAAAAAGGCTTATTTCTCTGGAAGGCCAGAACAGAGAGAGAGATTTTCCATCTACTGGTTCATTCAGCAAATGACTTCAACCATCATGGTTGGGCCAAGCCAAAGCCTTGAGTTAGGAATTCCAGCTGGGTCTCCCACATAGTGGAAATGGGGCAAGCATTTGGGCCAAATTCTGCTGCTTGCCAGGTGCAAAAACATCAGCCTTGCCTGGTACCACCAAAGCCTGACTGTACTCAATCATTTGAGCATACTTTACTCCACAGTGCCCCCTGCCAGACAGCAGGGACCTAGTAGGTTCAGCCTGTAACATGTCCATGTGCCAGCCTGTAACATGTCCTTGGCTGGCGGGCTCCCTGTCTTCCCCCACCACTGGGGCAACTCCAGTGTTCTCATTATGCATTTAAAAGATTTTTAACGTTATTTATTTTGTGGTGACAGCATCATGGCACTATGGTTTAGGCTGTCAACAATGACACTGGCATCTCATGCTGGAGTAATGCTTTGAGTCCTGGCTCCTCCACTGCATATCTGCCTTCCTCCTAATGTGCCTGCAAAGGCTGAAGGCACCCCAAGTGCGTGGGTCCTTGTACCACATGTGGGAAATCATGATGGAGTTCCACACATGGCTGCTGTGGCCTTCTAGGAAGTGAACCAGTGGATGGAAGATCTCTCTGTGTCTCCCTCTCTGTCACTCTGCCTTTCAATAATGAATACATCTTCAAAGTCTTTAAATTTCTGGAGAGGCTGAGACACAGATGGTACTCCCATTTTTTGGTTTATTCCCAAAATTCTTGCAACCAACTGGGATGAACAAGGTAGGGACTGAATCTGGGAGCTGGAAATGCAACGAAGGATTCCCATGTGGCTGTGGCTGGCAGGAATTGACTTACTCAGGCCATCACTGGTGCCTTCTAGAGTCTGCATTAGCAGGAAGCTGGAATCAGGAGCTAAAGACAGGAAGAACTGAACCTAGGTACAATGAGGTAGGTTTCTTTTTTTTTGTAAATATGCGTTGTATTTATTTGAAAGACAGAGTCACAGAGAGAGAGAGACAGAGAGAGAGGTCTTCCATCCACTGGTTCACTCCCCAGATGGCTGCCATGGCCAGAGCTGTGCCAATCCAAAGCCAGGGGCCAGGAGCTTCTTCTGGGTCTCCTATGTGGGTGCAGGGGCCCACGAACTTGGGCCATCTTCTACTGCTATCCCAGGCCATAGCAGAGAACTGGATCAAAAGAGGAGCAGCCTGGACTAGAACCGGTACCCATATGGGATGCTGGCCCATCAGGCCAGGGCTTTAACCTGCTGCACCACAGCACCGGTCCCGATGTGTGGGTCTCTTAATGAGCATCTTAATCACTAGGCTGAATGTCCTTCTAGTGATTCTTACTATTTTTTGATCATCAGCTTTGCCAATAACAATGTGCACTGGAAACACAGCAAATTTGTTGCCACAAAAATTAACAAGATGCTTTTCTTGTATAACATTCTATCAATGTAGGCAGAAACTGAAAATCACAGGTTTCATTTTTTAAAATAAGTTGGTCCATGCCACTGAGATCTGGTACCAGACAGGGATGCCCACTCTCACCACTGCTATTCAACATAGTTCTAGATGTTTTAGACAGAGCCATCAGGCAAGAAAAAGAAATTAAAGGGATACAAATTGGGAAGGAAGAAGTCAAAACTATCCCTCTTTGAAGATGATATGATTCTTTACTTAGAGGATCCAAAGAACTCTACTAAGAGACTATTGGAACTCATACAAGAGTTTGGCAAAGTAGCAGGATATAAAATCAATGCACAAAAATCAACAGCCTTTGTATACACAGGCAATGCCACAGTTGAGAAAGAAATTCTGAGATGAATCCCATTCACAATAGCTACAAAAACAATCAAATACCTTGGAATAAACTTAACCAAGGATGTTAAAGATCTCTACGATGAGAATTACAAAATCTTAAAGAAGAAATAGAAGAGGGTACCAAAAAATGGAAAAATCTTCCATAGCCATGGACTGGAATAATCAACATCATTAAAATGTCCATTCTCCCAAAAGCAATTTATAGATTCAATGCAATCCCAATCAAGATACCAAAGACATTCTTCTCAGATCTGGAAAAAATGATACTGAAATTCATATGGAGATGCAGGAGACCTCAAATGGCTAAAGCAATCTTGTACAACAAAAACAAAGCCAGAGGCATCACAATACCAGATTTCAGGACATACTACAGGGCAGTTGTAATCAAAAAAGCATGGTACTGGTACAGAAACAGATGGATAGACCAATGGAACAGAATAGAAACACCAGAAAT